AATTAAAGGTTTGATATACCAATTCAGGTCTGCTTCTTTGTATTCATAAAGTAGGGTTAGAAGTCTAGATGCATTATTTCCTTCTATATGATATTTCTGTCACAGTTATGCCACAATATTCAATAGATCATATGTTAAGAAAAGCTAATCAGAATATTTGGCAAAGACAAGAGATTGTATTGTCAATAAATCATATCAACCATTAACTACTAAATGATGAATATCCTTATAGCACTCATTAGAGAAATGATGATTAACAGGTGCAAAAATCATAGTATTCGGTGAAAGCTGGTGCTCGACATGATGATCACAAAAACTAGTTATACAAATCAAACCTATAGCCGATTACAGATTAAGTTGCCAATTATAGTTAAGTTTTTTTGAGCCTTTATTGTATTGGTTTTGCAAAATTACTATTTTCTTTGGCTAATATGTGCTGCCAAACTTGCATTTGAAATACAAATTTGTTAAACATCTATTTTTATCAGTTTTATTACATATTTTAACTGGAATAAAACCTTTTTAATAGCCGTACTGACCAACATAATGCTCTGCAATAGGCCAATTAGAAAAGGTATCATTGATGGCAAATACTATTTGTTCATTAATATAAGGTAACAGACCAGGTATCTCAACCAAATGCTGTCCTTTGTGAGTTCCATTATCTTGTATATCTAAACTTTCAGATAGTTCACAAGAAATTTCCAAATCTGATGATATTTCAACCAAATGTTGTCCATTATCTTGTATATTCAAACTTTCAGATAGTTTATAAGAAATTTCCAAATCTAATGATATCTCAACCAAATGCTATCCTTTATGAATTCCATTATCTTGTATATCCAAACTTTCAGATAGTTTACGAGAAATTTTCAAATCTGACTTTATAAATCTTGATTATCACAGTAAATTGTTATTATTTAAAGTCACAAGAGTCGAGAAGACAAAAACCAGTAAAAATAGAAGTCAAGAAACAGCTTTAAACCTAAAAAAAATATATGTAAATTAACTACCAACACTTCTTCAAACTTTAGTTTTATTTGCATACTATAGATAATCACGTGTTAAAAAGAAAGCAGTTTACCTTTGCCGGAAGCAAAAACAACCAGACGCTTGTCAAGTACCCACCAC